TTTGGTGGGTACATCGACAAGAGTTACCAGTGAACAGCCGGTGGGCTTGCACGACCATGCGGAAACAAACCAATGCAAAGGGCAGGTGGTCCCACTTGGCACTGGCGGATAGGGTTTGACAACACATGCCTCACCAAATGAATCGACAACCACGCGTGTGACGAGCGCTGAAAACTGCTCCTCACGTCAATCCAGAACCATTTGTTCAGCATGCCTTTTAGAGCCCCAAAGCTTAGTCTCCCGAAAACAATAGCTACAATTCAGATGGTGTGGCGTCTTCTAGTCAAGGGATTCGCCACATGACCCATCCACCATACCTCTTGAGGCAGGGTAAGCCCCAACTTGAGACAGGGCGGACCGCAAGCTGGCAGCAGGGTCAACGCCACTTCGCCCGCCTGCTTTAAATAAGTCTTCTATAGGTGTCCCAAGTCTAAACGCAAAGCATAAAACAGCCCAGCACAGACAGGGCAGGAATCGAACTCTCGGCCGCACCCCCCCAAAACATGTGTTAGATGGAGTCAGACACCTTACAGATTCTTCCAGACTCTAATGGGGAAACGGGCCCAATCTTGCCACACCCCGATGCAAAACTTAAGCCAAGTAATAATCAGAATGTGGCCCTTTTCCTTGACTCAAATGCCCACCACGGGAAAAAGGGCACCTTTTTTTGTTGGTTCCGCCACATTGCTCAAGACCCCACCCCCCCCAATTGGAGTGAGTGGAGCCCACATCCTGGCCGAAGCCAAAAATCAGCCCGTCCCACTAAGGGGAAGGGCTAGGCATGGTTGGTTGAGTTTAAAGGGGAACCCTTACCAAAAAAAAAGGAAAAAGGGCACCACGGAGTTGGTTAAAAAACAGCAAAAAAACAAAGCAAAAACCTAACCTCAGCAAGCGGTCGAAATGGCCGGCTCCTCTGGAAATGTCCCTTATGCCCGAACCCAGATTTCGCAGTTGTAGAGTGGCATGCGGATTTCCAGCGGAAATGCGGCTCCAAGGTCTCCCCAAAGGCGAGTTGGCTGTGGTTGTCACAAAACGGGTAACCCCAAAATGTGTCAAGCCCTGGTAAATGGAAATGACTACAACCTGTGGTCCTATTCCTGGTGGGTTTTTTGTTGACCCATACCCAGTTGCCCAGGCTGAGTTTTTCCAACCAAACCCCGCCCAACGCGCATGCAATCGTCTGCCGAGGGCCTGCGGCTCCGGCTCGGCGAATCAAAAGTTACCTGGGATGCGGACGCAGGGTTCGCTGAAGTGGGGAACAGGGCGGGGCTCAATACAAACCTGGCAGAACAAAGGATCACGTTGTGGAAACCTGAGAAAAGGGTGACATAAATCAGGAAAGCTGGCGCACACATGGTGGAGCTGATTGACCTTACCCAAGAAAAGGGGAAGTGGAAAGCCAGCCATCAGCTTTGCAAGTGAGAACCTACCTTGAGAATCTGTCCCAATTTGTTCTATGCCCAGGAACGTCACCTCACTTCGTGCCTCCAGCTAGAGCCTCTTCAGCACATAGGGGGGCGTCAGAACTTGCTTGGCGCTTACTCTGGCCTGCCCCCTCACCATAATTTTCACTGGAGCCGAAAAAAATGCGGAACAATTCCTCTCTTTACCAGAGCCTTTTGCATGAGAAGGGCAGTTTGTACATGAGCCATCCTGCAATCCATCTGGGACCAAGGTCCCAGCACAAACGAAGCAGAAAGATGTTACCCCGCAGACACGTGCCATTTGCTTCGTGCCGAACCTCTTGAAGAAGAGCCCTTTTTGGTGCAATCAGTGGTGTGCAGGGCAAACTAAGGATGGACCGCAAAGTGGGTGCATCTCTTCACCTGAGAACATGCTGTTACCAAAGGCGAGTGCGGCGCTGGCAACCAAGCATCTTATGACACAGCCGAATTCAAGGCGCCCGTCCGGCCTGTCCCCCCTCTTGTACCATCAGGAGCTAAGCAAAGATACTGTAGATGGCAAAATCCTGTCTGTAGGCATGAGCAATCATCAGCCGACGGTTTCTGAGGTGGTGCGAAAACCCTGGATTCCGCAACCAGAGCATTTCGCACAGGTTAGTAACTTTATAGCCCCATGGCCGTCACCGGAACTATGGCCAAGTTACACACAGCTACGCACCCTGGTCCTATGACCCTTCTTGTCCCAGGTCCTCGTCCTAGAAAAAAAAGGCAGGTGCAACCAGAGACCCGGCCGGGTCAGAAAAACATTTAAAACAGAAACTCAGCAAATAGCAAACCCCGAGGGTGGAATCCACTGAACTGGGCAAAAAGGCAAGCCGAGTGGTGGCTTGCGATGCTTATTTTCTCCGAGTGGCAACTCATCACGGGCTGCAGCGGCGTCCCCACCTCCATTTCGAGACTTTCCTGGCTTCACACAAGCTGACTCTGTTTCAAACTGGGACACCCCTAATCCTGATCCGTGCTCGAAACTCCTGAGCAGGAATGCCTTGACATCCTTAGCAAACACCCAAAAACACTGATGCCTATCACCAACAGGTGTGTTCATGTGCCGCGGTGACTTTCTGGGCGCATCATTGCAGCGCGCAATCCAACCATCTCCCACCAGAGACATGTCGACAACAACAGGCTTTCCTCGAGGTGCTTGCTGTTGTGAGAGCTAACCCTTGTTTGGCCACAGTTTCTGCCATGCCTTCTCCTCAGATAGTTTCTTTGTATTGGTCCGTTCATTGACTCCCGTTGATACCGCCCAAACATCATGTCTCCTTGCACGATGCAGCTTACTGCTGTTCTCATAGCGATTCCTTTTCCTTGCTTGTTTCCGCAGTCTTGATGAGAGCTGCTCATTGCAATAATTTTCCCACCACCAAACATGCTGTCGGCACCCAACAGGAACAAAGGTCAGCTACGCGAAGCATCATCGACTCAAAGCCTCTTGGCTTGTGACATGACATTCCAGCGGCTGCACTGCCCCAATTCTGAGCCTCGGGCAAAACTCCACAATCAAACGCGCACACACACACACAAAAGCACAGACACAAACCACACACACACGAGCACCAGTGGGTGCAAGTGTCATGTCCTCCCGCAAAACTTGATGTCAAGCTCCATACTGGCCCACGCCCAGCCCAAAAACGACTCCGGCCCTCCACCCATCCTCTTAAAACATTTCAGAGCAACGTCCTTGTGGTTTCGTGCCCCCGAGCGCCCTCGTCCCCCCGAATGCCTTTTCTCGGCGCTGGGATTGTGCCATCTCACGCACTGAGTGGGCCAGCATAACCATGTCCCCGTGTGGCTCGCTCACCTCGAGGCCCAGAAAAGCCGAATGGATAGCGGGACCGTGATGCAAGGCAAGACCAAGTGGCATCTGCCATCCAACGGGTCGAAAAAGAATAAGAAAAAGGATGCAGTGTGGCGCAGTCTGCGGGGCCATGCATGGTTATCACCAAAAGGAGTTTCTCAACCCCGGGCCCAATCGGGGCACAACCGTTGGTTCTTGTTTCCTTCTTGGGATAGGAAGGCATAACCCCCGAAGTCCCAGCGAAGTCCCCTCACGCCCAGCGGCCCTGCGCCAGTTGTCCTGGGTCACCTCTAGGATAAAGCGGCCGTCCTTGGCAAAGTGGGTTGGTCAGTATACCCACGTCTCTGCGTCCGCCTTTCTTTGTTATTTTCTCGTTTGGGGACGCCAACAGGCCAAAACCCCCCAAAAAAAAACAACCCCACAATTCCCCAGTTGGCCGAACAACCGCTGGTCGATGGCCGGGGTAATTGTTGTTGCAGTGCTAGAAGGAGTCCAAGGTGTCATTCAACAACATAAGTTGTGGATGTCAAGTACCAGTTGACACATGCTGGGATGACTCTCCTGATTTCGGACCTACTATCAACAAACACGACCAAGGGTGTGTGAAATCTGGCTTCCAGCAACAGCCCTTCACGTGGTGAGCCTCTAGTCTGGCCTGCCCAAAACACTATCAGCCGCAGCCACTAGTTGCCGCTTGGCAAAATGGCCGTCGCATGAACCTAACGCAGGGAAAGTCAACCCACACTTGCCCACACTGCAGGTTCAAGACGTTCAAGCGACTATCTGACCCCATACTCAACCAAACCAGAGCTGAAGCCTCGCTCGAACCACCAGGCACATGTTTTTGTTTAAGGAGCAGTATACTTGATGACCTTGCGATTTACCGGCTCCTTTTAAGCATTCCCGCAAACTAAGCGATCATGGGGTGGCACCGACACATTTGACGAGCATTCCCACTCTGGGGGCCCGGGCTGTGCACTTCAGCTTTGACCGGGAGAGGCAGGTCTGAAAAACGTAGCCTCAGCTCGGCCCGCTGGCCAACTCATCCCGCTGCCCCTTTCGGCGAAAATGGGTGTGACAGACTGACCCGCCTGGCTTCAGGTATGTGAAGCCCGCTACTTTGAAGGTTTCAACGGCGCTGCCCACAATCCACGAAGTGCGCTGCACAACGGAGGGAACTGCTGCTAGCTTGAAAAGAAGTAGCCCTTCCAGGAAACAGTTCCAGCCGGCATCACCAAGACGCTGGGGAGCGCACCAATGGCGGCATAATCAAAGTGCTCGGGCAAAAACGTGCAATGGCGATAGCATGCGGCGCACAGCAGTGGTTTCCAAATTGCGCAAGAACCCCCCCCCCCCCAACTAGACGCGTGCTAAGGCATTTTGAGCGATTGACGCTTTCCAACATAGATAGTCCGTCCACTGGCCAAGTAATGCCTTTCAATGACACTTGCCATTTTCCAGCCACCATGGACGTGTCCATTGAACCTTATCCTCTTTGAAAGTGTGTAACTTGATGTAACTTGCATTTTGAGCGGTTGCCAGCATGAGAAAGCCACAACTGCACTGGCACCCCGCGCTTGTATGCTGTCGGGAGGTAACACCGACAGTGGCGCACGGCGTCTGACACTGCCAAGCCCACAACAAGTGTTGCAGGGGACAAGCCTCATTTCTTGTGGCCCCCTACTGGCAAGGTCTCCGAAGTGACTCGCGCCCCGTTTCTCACCTGCGATCTCGGCGGCTGTTCTGCACCATGAGGATAAAGGCTGCCAAGTCCGACAGGTCCACTGGCACCGTCTGGCCTATCTGTCGAATCCGGTGAGTCACCCGGCCGTGGGTGTAACCAATGGTACCATTTTGGGTTGGTAGGTGCACCACCCATTTTAGAACCTATTGTAGTGGGGATTGGGATGAACTGGGTGCTGGATAACGGGAGTCTGCTGCAAAGGCGCAACCTCAAACTGTACCTGCCAAGCTGGCAAGGTTTTGCCCCAACAAAAACGCGTCAGCACCTACAATTCAGCGTTGCCGGTGAAACAAAGCCGGGGATCTTCAAGGGTGAACACTCACCGAACTGGGAGATGCTCAATAAGCCGAAAATGTTCGAGTTTCAAGGGGAAATCAAAGGAAGCCAGCCACTTTTCAATGAGGGCCCCAAACAGAACTGTTGGGTTGCCCGTTGGCTTCCCATTTTCCCACCAAACATGGAAGTCGCCGCCGCCCTTTCCAATATGAAGCTAGTCTTCCAGAGGTTGTTTTAAGCGTAAACAACCTTTTGGAAGGGGAAAACCAGTGGGGAACCAGCAGCAAGCCTACGTGTTTGTCAGCTGTGTCTTTTTTTGCTTGGTGGGAGCACCCCAACTGGCGTTGTCTTCCAGCCCCTCTTTGAAACTCAGCAAAAGCGAGCCTTTTATCCGTGCAAGACAACGCCAGAGGAGTCGTTGCCGAGAAAGGCAAATAGGAGTGAGAACATTGTACAATTGACACACATGTATCCTTTATTGCAGGATGCGCATTGCCCTCATGGGTTGTCGGAAGATACTCCTGTGGAAATCCTTGGAAGAGGTTTTCACTACCACATCAGATATATAGGGGGTGCAGTTACATAATCCATGAGGCAGCTTGGGGCCATGAAGCAAAAGGTTAACTGCCGCGGGTAGGTCCAACCCCATGGGCATTTTGGCGGCGCCTTCCTGTCCAAGCGGCCTTTGAAGCTGGGGCCCGCCAGTGCTCGCACCGCGCGCAGCAGCTCGACCAAGACCTGCCAGAGAACACGACAAAGCGTTCCGAGCCGAGGAGCCTTGCCTGGCCGAACCGCCGCATCTGGCAAAAGCCCCTAACCCCTTTGTGCTGGGAGGGTCCCAGAGGCAGACACTGTTTTAAGACACCACCAAAAATCGTGTTTCACCTGTTCGCCTGAATTTGCGGCTGACAGGAGAAAGATGTTGACGCATCTGCTTTGAAATGGTGGGTGGCGACTGCCTCCTGGGTTTACCTTTCGGCCTTTTGCACCGTCAAGCTTCAAGCGGGCCATTTTCTCTCATCCAGGGATGGACGGCAAAGCTTCGCCATGAGGCGGATAACTGAGGTGCTGGAGGCACCCTGCATGACCAAACACTTGATCCAACTCGGGAATGACCAAGCCCGAACCATCCGCTTTTGGCAATCCCCAAATGGCTTCACACCCTGGAGTTGTCGCGTTTAGGCCGGGACGCCCGGCCTGAAGAAATGCCCTCAATTCCACCCATCCGAGTTGACTCCCAAGCAATCCTGAGAGTTTCCTAGACTCTAAGGTCCACTTTCACCTCTTTTGTGGATGGCGTGAAGGTAACCGTCGTGGATTTTGGAACACAAAACCATACAAAACTGCTGAGACAACCCAGGACCCAAGGCAGTGGGGTCGTTGACGCCTCCAGAAGCCGCGGGACCGTCACGAATGCGTTCTTCATGGCTCGCTCGAAGCACAGCGGCAAGAACCTGACATGTGCCGTCGGCCGCGGCAATTGTTGGGTGACGGTTTCCGAGCGGAAGCGGCAGCCAAAGGAACTGGGGGAGAATGGTCCATAGTTTCCGCCGTCCGAGATCGTCCGAGGCTGATGTCCGGGCTGTCACATGAAAAAACATGCATGGCGATGACAGGAAGATGTGGCTTTGGCATGCACGCTATGGACACGGAGTCTTCCGGTGTCACTGTCAGAGCACGCAAGGCATACATCAAAGAGAAACACGTGCGGGGATGTATGAACTGAGCTAAATACATTGGTGAATGTCAGGCCCATGGCAGTGGTGCACAAGGGTGGGAGGCCATCAACACTCCACAAGTACGCACTGACTTAGAATCAATACTCCCGACAAAACGTGACCATATTCAGTTTTGCATCGCCGTTGCCAAACGAAGCAAATGCCTCCGCAATCAACCAGTCAATCTATAGGTCTTTCTGTGGATATTCTGTGTTTGATATTATTGGTAGTTTATCGAGACTAGAAGGCTGGCTTTTTGTTCACGCTGCTGAAGAAGGCCTCCTGACCCCCTTTGCAACGCAACTGTCCCTCTGCCCCTCTACGCTCAGACACCCCCAAATTCGCTTGCGGCAGGTGGTACAGGCCAAGGTCCCCATCGCGTTTAGGTTGGGACTTTCCCAGTATGCCCATCAATCCCGTACTCACTTGCTGAGTGGATTGGCTAAACAAAAAACATCCATAAATGCGTCTTTACCACTGAAATTGGTCTTAAAGCAAATAAAGTCCAGCACCTCTTGTGTGCGCGTGTGTTTGTGTGTGTGTGCTTGATTACGCTGGCCCGGCCCAGTAATTAGCAACCACGTCGGACCCACCAAACCTCACGACCGGAAGTGAGACGAGGGAGGGGTCTGACCGATAAGCCAAGAAGCTCGAACACGAAGGCACGGCTGTGGATGCCATCCGCCAGAAAATTCTTCACCAGCTCCTAGCGAGTTGCTAGCGGACGAGTGAGGCGGAGGTGTCAGCTTGGGATCCCCTGGATTTGTCCAACCCTTGCGAGGGGAAGCGGTGTGATCTGTTCGCGCTCTTGTTTTCCTTCTTTAGCTTCAGTGGGGTAATGCTTCGGATAAACACCCCAACCGCCCCTGGCAAGGTGAACAAATCCAGGGGAAATCACACGGGTCTAAACTCCGAAAAATCGAGGAGGGAGGAAAGCCTGATGGCTATGGTTTGTGATTGGGTGTACTTGATATATTTGGGGGATCTGCTGGGCCACTCCCATGGACAAACCTTCCAGTGGAAATGCCTTCAAAACCTCAGCTGACTAGAGGGTCCGAGTTCAAAATGCCAAGCTGCTGCTTTAATCAAAGATGTAAAGGAGACATTGTGTGACATCGCGCGTGTGACTTTAAAAGGGCAATCTCTGCCTAATTTGGTCCCTTCCAAAATAAAGGAAACCACTACTATCTGGCACAAGGAAGGATGGATTTTGAAGTCGGCTTCGTACGAGTTGGGAAGGAAATTCATCGGCGCGTGCATTTAACCACCCATTTTACACCCCAAAGAGAATGGCCAAGTGGACCCCCCATCCCTCAAGCAAGTCTTCCAACCCCCCCCCCACCCCACCAGGTGCCTCACGCTCCGCCACCGAGATCTGCTGCATGAAGCCCGAGAGACGGTCCACGCTCTGCGAAAAAGGATGGCTCTGGGGAAATCTGGAGGAAAACTTGCTCTTCACAAAACCGGAAAGGAATGCCCAAGGGGCAGTCGTGGGTTAGCAGCGCGTGAAGAAGAAATAGAGTCTGTGAAAGCCCCCTCTGCTAGGATATACATATATATATATATATATGTATGTATGTGTATATATATATATAAAACAAAAGGGGACGCCCTGCGTCAGATTTCGCTTGGGGCAATCCTGAAGCCCATGTCATGGGCGTCTTCCCTGCCACTCAAGGTAAAACCATCCTTCCGATGCAAGTGGCACGTGAGTTTCGCGTCAAATCAGCCGTTCCCTCTCCGGGGGCACCTGAGTTGTGTCATGGAAACCTTCGAGAGCCTTTTTCAGATCAGTCTGAGTCTTATATTCCTATCAAGCACCCACACAAAAACGTGAGTCTATTCAGCTTCCCTCTAATTCGTGGTTTGGTTTGGTGGTTTGGGTGTTAAGTGTGCCAAAAGAACCATTTGGCTTAAACAAATAGTGGGGTTCAAATCCAAAAAACCCACCAATCCAAACCACCAACTACGGGTTGCCTGATCTATGAGACAAAAGGCAATGCCTAAACAAAGCGAATGGATGCAGGGAACCCTGACCCAAGGATCGCACACACCCCAGAATTGGGCCTCAGCGTTCTGCGCGCGCACCAGGCCTCAGACGGCAAACACCCCTGACTCAAGGCCCGGCCGGGCAAAGAAAATCCCAAACTTAAGTTATGGGGGCTGGCGGGGAGGGAGGGGAGGGGAGGGAGCCCAAACAAGCCCTCTATAAGGGCTTAATAAGGGTTTGGGCCCCTCCCCCTCCCCTCCCTCTCCCTCCCCTCCCTCTCCCTCCCCTCCCTCCCCCCATGATTAAGGGGGATGAGTTGGCAACTTGGCATTTAAGAAGTCAGGGACATGTGAACGTTTTTTCTCAAGGAGGATACCTGGAGTCAATTCCACTGGCTGGTCACTGGTGACCATGGCCTTCAATTTGATGAGGCAGCATGACACAAAACATGTCCACTTGTGGTTGGCTACCGTGATGACCGAACATGTGCTGCCATGAGGGTCTCCCCAACTACTATTGGGAAAATCGGATTCCGTGCAAACAATGAGCATTGCCCTCACGCCGGAACCTGGCATAACAAGAATGTTTAGTTGTGGGTAGCAGCTGCGCCACGGTGGTTTTTGAAAGCACCATGGCCGCTTGTCCCCGACCAAGTGCAATACCCCAGGCTGTCAGGGTGGCAAACAGCTATTGCCAAGCATGGAGCCCTGGGCCGACAAACTGGTGGTTCAAATGGGGAAAGCTGGCAAACAAACCTGTCAATTTTGGGGGCAACTCCCCCACAAAGCCAAACCGGCCTTTTGAGTGTTCAAACGGATTCTGCAACAAATGAAAGCCTTCCAAGCTCCCAACCACCAGTTGCCCTGGTCACGAGAATGCGTCATTTTGTTCAGTACACCAGGGTCGACCAGCTATTAAGTTAACCGGGACACATTTTGAAACAAGTATGTCCTTCATCATTTAGGGCGCGGCCTTCCTTGGTAAATTGCTTGGCTCTTTATCCTTTTCACG